ATGTAACGCTGCTGTAGATGTGCATGGAACCCTTTGTTGCAAAGGTTGGCACAGCACAAATTTCAAGCCTTGATTTGACTAAAAAAAGGATGTTTGAACTTGTTTTGGCTAAATATACCAACAAAAATGGTGAGAACTGTAGCATGATTAATCTGGTCCATAACTAGACTGCATTGAGCATGTGTTTTTCGGCACAGGAATGTCTTAAAGTGGCCATTAAATATTAAATTCTAAAAGTTTGCTTCAGTAAATACATTTATTGGAGCATCCAGTAAATGTTGCTCAGTGTGATGTGACAGTAACCTCTTTTTCCTTCATTCTCACCAACTTAACAGATGGCTCTCATTCACATGAATGCTTTTCAGCACCACACCCAATCCTGCATCTCTACCCTAATTTTTCTGTCTTACCTCTGGTCCATGTCTGGCCTTTATATTTTTTTATGTATTTTAAAAATATATATATATTATTAATTTTTTTTTTTACCATTTGCTTTGCTTGTTATACCTTTTGCTCTCCATGTTTGACTTGGAATTATTTTTCCAACCACCAGAAGGCCCAATTATGCCTCCTGGACAGGGTGTGTCCTCATGAAGTAAAGCCCCTTTTACAGGAATTTATTTACAAAAACATTCAAGTATACATAAAAAAAGTGCATTTGGTTGGAGTGTACCGTCTTGTTTTTGAGTATAATTTTAATGCATAAACTGAGTCCTTGTGATTTGTGCCAAGTTTAGTGGGGAATGAAGCCAACCAAGTTCAGGCACTCAACTCAAGCTGTGCTGTGTCAAGTCTCACCCTCACTGTCAGCAATTTGAAACTTAAGCTGCCAAGTTTTTCATCCTTACCTCTGACCTGTCAGTCCTGCTAGGCTTTGAGGGAAATGGTTACTCATTGCTTCCCATTTTCTATCTGTATCATATTTGTTATGCGGTTAAGAGCTCAGAGCTCTGACTCTTCGGCTGTGATAAATCATTTCAAATGTGATTTAACTGACTGGGAACATATTTTGATTATTGTGGAGCAATATCGTGAATTTCACTGATTAGGGTACATATGTTGCCCTAACCCCCCCTTCCATACATGACATTGCCTAATGGTGCTGGACACCTGGGGACCTACATGTTGAATTGCAGTCACCAACCAATCATTTTATAGAAAGTAAAACATTTTTAAATGTTTTCTAAGATTTGTTTGAACTTTTATAGTAATATTTAGCTTTTTAAGTGCGATTGGTGAAAACTAGACCTTTGACTATACTTTCAGCTATCACAGACTGTTTTCATAGTTTTTTTTCTATTTTTATAAATGAAATGATGAGTAAAAGCACTGCTTTAATTCCTCAGACCGACACAAAGTCAATTCCAGTACTCTGGGGAGTAGGGCTGTGCGATATGACCAGAATCTCATATCCCGATATAAGACATCTATCGTCCTGATAACGATATAAATCACAAAATTTAACATTTTTTGTGAATCTCGGGCAGCTCGACTTGCGTGATGTGTTTCCAGCTGGGTGTCGTGTACCTGGAGTCGAGTGTTTTAACCGATGCATGACATGATACATTTTTAGACATAAGTTTAACAGCTGTCGTTTTCTTTGTGAGTATTTATTATACGGCGTACTGCGGGGAAAAGCCTGTTGTAACGTTTGAGTCTAAAGTTTATTTTTTAGCACTTGACGGCTCTTTTTTTTGCTTTTCATCCCTAAATACTCTGCATACTCTTTCATGTGATTCAGTTTATTTTGAAAAGTCTCAACAGGATCTTGAGCTTTATTGTGAAAGGTTTATATGGAAAATAAACAAGCGGACACATGTTGTTGGTTTTACCGTCGTTGTTGCTAACGACAACGCATTTAAAAACAGGCACTTGTCCGTCCCTAGTGTAGTAATATTAAATAGAAGACAAAGAGAGAACTTTAAGAAATTAATATAGCCACTACAGTGACCATCAAAACGATGAAAAAAATATTGCTGTAAACAGTTTATTCTGCGACACCACGAAACAAACGATAGCGTAAAATGAAACGATAGACGTTTTTATATCGTCATTCGATATATGTTATATCGAACAGCCCTACTGGGGAGTCAAAAAGTGGTGTCAGAAGAAAATTCAACATTGCTCCTAAGCAGCTCTGCTCCATTCATATTTTATTCATACATATTGACCAAATTACACTAGAGTACAAAACATAACTGGTTTAAAATGAAGCAGCACTAATGTTAGAGGCAGCAATTGGGAATAAACATGACTGGCAACATTTCAAACACTAGAATAAGCTTGTTGGAGGAAAGTGTTAGACTTCTCTCCAAGTCTCAGCTCTCTGGAAAGCTGCTCTTCTAGATTATGTAACACCACAGTGATATAGGCAAGTGGGATTATGTGATAAATGGTACCAAGGGTCCTGATGCTTTCAAGTCAGGCAGGCCAGAGGACTGGGATGTAATTTGATCCTAGAAGGTGAGGCCAGAGGAGGCATTCATTATTTGTTTTTAAATGTGTGCTCTCATCACGTGAAAACAAGGGAGCAGTAGTACTGTTTGCTGTAAAATGAAACCTAGTGGTGCTGTTGGTAAGTGAAACTGCTTGACATTAATGTTCTGTTGAGAATGCATTTGACAGAGGTTAATTTAACTTGACCTATTTTTAGGTATCCTGAATGAAGCCATGATGACGTGTGTTCTCTAAACCATGAAATTAAAAGTAATTCTTCTGTAATGCAGATTGGAGCTTTTCAGTTTCTGTTTACCCTTAAATGAAACTTAGTGTGTGATTGAGGCTGAAATTTCTCCAGCGTCAATGGAGGGGTGGGGCAAAAAACCCCAAACAACTATTTGCATTCTTAGATGTCCAAAAGAAATGAATTGTATGTAGTACCAGCTTGTATTCTGTATAACCTGCACTTAAGGTTATCCAACTTTTTTAGAAGGAAGATGCAAACAGCAGTAACATGTTTGATGTGAAAGAAGGAAGCGAATGAAACTAAATGAAGCCATTCTGTTACTTTATTTCTGTATTTGAGGTCAGCAGTCTGAAGATTTCTTTAAGATGAAACAGTCCTTCCAGCTAATTGAAGCATCTATGTGACAGATGTAATATCAGCATGCTTTTCTGGGGAGAAAAAATTGCTTTGGGGATCTTGTCTTGTCTTTATCTGCCCATAGTGGTAATCAGTTTTCAGTTAGTATTACTTAAAAGTATCATCTCCCCACAATTTTTCTTTGCATTTTCAGTAACTCGTTGACTTATGAACAGCCAGTTGAGCAGCATTGAGACCCAAGAATAGCAGTTAAATATTAAAGTTTTCATTTATCACAGTTAGAACAGTAGTGTAATAGTTTTAGAAATCATCCTACTTGACCCTCTGCTAATGAAACTAGAATTCCTGATTTTAAAAGTGTACTTAATTTCCTAATCTAATCATTGCTCAAGTTAAATGCCCTATGCTACTTTGATCTAGCATAGGGCATGATGTGCCCCTTTTAGAGTTTTGGGTGTTTCATAAAATTGTCTTAATTAATAAAATAGGAGTGCCTACTTTATAATTAATTATGATTATTGTTATTATTATTATTTTAACTAGCCATCTTTTTGTTTAGTTTAACTGTTAATTTGTACACACAATGTTCTTGTCCAGCAAATCAGGGTTAGTTTAAGGACATCAAGATGGCATTTGACTAAAGGGGGAGAGAGTTCTGCATTGTAGGTACAGTTAAGCTTCTGAAAACCAGAAATGATGAAGGTGAGGCTCAGTTTCCTTAACTATCAGGTGAGGAGAGCTTGATGTATAAAGCCCCAGTAAGCTGACACACACAAGCTCTTTGGAGTGGAATCTAAACAACAGTCAGCATTACCAGCTGTCATATGCTTTCTTTACTTTATTTTTAACAAAGTGGTGTCACTGTCTAATATGAATTGGTCAATTTTGGCCTAACATGTGTGTCAATTGTCTGCACACAAACTTGTCTCTCCTTATGTGTATGTAGACATGACTGGTCAGTGAAAATGTCAACACACGTGGACAAAGTGACCCATTCCAAGGACAAAAGCTTAGCCCTTTCTACTTTTTCCCCCACATTTTCTTTTAAACAGACTTATGCACTGTCGAGGTCCCTGTTGTTTTTACGCTGCCTGACAGTTTACCAAATATAAATGGTTGGCTTTAAACTTAAAACACCACTAGTTATGTTATGTTTGGAAGACTAAAACTTGCATGCTATTTGGAGGAATAACACCCAGATATTACGTGTCTCAGAACACCATTAGGCAACTCGTATGCAGCTCTTTTTTTTTATTTTTTATTTTTTTTTTTTAATGATTGTACTGATAAGCATGAATTTGTTTGCCAAGGGAAGGTCAAGTCTTTGGATCCAGCCTGCTGAGTTGTCTTTAATTTTTGGCCTGCTCACTGTAAAATGTACATGTGCATGAATACAGTGCTTGCATCTTCTAAACAATTGTCCTTCCAAAAACTGTTCAAATATTATAATAATTTGCCTGGAGATAATGCTCTCATTTGGATTTTCAGCAACTAAAGCTTATATGCAGAAACACTGCTGCTAGTTATATCCTTTTCTTGGCATTACATATTTGCAATGCTACTGTCAGAGGATCCCAGAATGGTTCAACCCAATGAGAGAAATTTTACCTTTTGTTTTTGGCATTAGACTTTTACTAATTACTTTTAGTAATGTATTTTTATCTTTTGTGTTTTTTTTCTTTTTTGACACAAATTTATATTGTGGTGGTTTCTGCATTTTTATTTTCATTCTTTGCCTCTACTTAACTGGTATATGGATTTGGATGCATATGTCCTATATATATTATTGTACTGCTGTACTGTCACAAACAACCAGATGGAGTAAGATTTCATGCAGTAATGACTAAACTTTAGATTTAATTTAATTATTTTTTTAATAATGATACCTTATATTTTAAGTTTTATTTCAGTCTGGTATTCTTCCACTATTTTGACAGGACTGTTTTGTTCTCTACAGGCTACATGAGGAGATTATAGACTTCTATAACTACATCTCCCCACGGCCAGAGGAAGAGAAAATGAGACTGGAGGTGGTGGACAGAATCAAGGAAGTCATCCATGACTTGTGGCCAAGTGCTGAGGTATATTTTATTCTTAAACCCCAACAACTGCAAAAGTTTCTTTAGGCAGAATGTTGGTTTGGATATTGAGAGATAATAGATTTATTTTTCGGGGAAAAAATCCACTTGTGGGGTTTGTCAGTGAAAGCACCACTTCAGATTATTAGCTTTAATCTGAAAGCTATCTAATGTCTATTTTACCGTATCTTATTTTATTTTTTTGCACAAATAAATGATTTGTAACACAGTGAAAACAGTTAACATGCTTTCTTAAGTGAATTTTAAGGAAGTGCTTAAAAAGGACAGTTTCTGCAAATAGCTTTTATTGCAAAGTACTTCATGGAGTCATAAATGCTGACAGAGACTGAGCTCTATGGCCATACTACCTTTGACACAGTGGTCTCTGTAACTTATACAAGTCCTTCTAAAAAAATTAGCATATTGTGATAAAGTGCATTATTTTCTGTAATGTACTGATAAACTTGACCATGACTTTCATATATTTCAGATTCATTACACACAACTGAAGTAGTTCAAGCCTTTTATTGTTTTAATATTGATGATTTTGGCATACAGCTCATGAAAACCCAAATTTCCTATCTCAAAAAATTAGCACATTTCATCCGATCAATAAAAGAAAAGTGTTTTTAATACAAAAAAAGTCAACCTTCAAATAATTATGTTCAGTTATGCACTCAATACTTGGTCGGGAATCCTTTTGCAGAAATGACTGCTTCAATGCGGCGTGGCATGGACGCAATCAGCCTGTGGCACTGCTGAGGTGTTATGGAGGCCCAGGATGCTTCGATAGCGGCCTTAAGCTCATCCAGAGTGTTGGGTCTTGCGTCTCTCAACTTTCTCGTCACAATATCCCACAGATTCTCTATGGGGTTCAGGTCAGGAGAGTTGGCAGGCCAATTGAGCACAGTAATACCATGGTCAGTAAACCATTTACCAGTGGTTTTGGCACTGTGAGCAGGTGCCTGGTCGTGCTGAAAAATGAAATCTTCATCTCCATGAAGCATGAAGTGCTCCAAAATCTCCTGATAGCTGCATTGACCCTGCCCTTGATAAAACACAGTGGACCAACACCAGCAGCTGACATGGCACCCCAGACCATCACTGACTGTGGGTACTTGACACTGGACTTCAG